TAGCATTTGCCTTGTTTATTTTGAAGTGCAAGTCAACAAATACCCCTGTTCTGTTTGCCAGTGTATTTGCAGTGGCTAATTTGCATTCCAGTACATTGTTAGCATATCAGTGTTCTCCCCAGAAATTTTCCATAGAGTCGCGGCTAATTTGCATAATTAGCATATAATTAGCATATAATTAACATTGTTTGTCATGTGGTGAAATAAAACAAGACCATTTTTTTTTTCCTGTTTTTTTCTATTTATTTTATGTACAATCTGTATACAATAAAAGTGCACTGCATGTTTAGTATTGCAAATGTCCCGCAGATATACTGAGTTTTCTGTTTCTTTGCTTGACCCAGCAATCAGCAACTTAATATAACCCTGTTCGGTTCCGGTAAATTAAACATTGGGTTGATGATTCTCCGTGCTTGTATTCCGTTTCTGTTGTTTTCTGGTTAAGTACTACAACTGTTACGAGTACTTACGCTACTATGTTCGAGCAATAATAGTTTTTTCTGGCTGACATTATTCATCTTTATGTATTTTTTTTAATCGATGTTGTCTGTTCAACACTATTGTGAACAAGTCGAGACAACGGAGGTCTGAATTGGGAATTGTCGCCATTGTTATACCACGTAAAATTGAGGCTTTTCCTCCAAGAAATAACACAAGTGTCACACCAATTTCCACACGTTTCTTGATTAAAATTCCTGATTTCTTGATAAATATATTATTTTCCATTATGCTTCACTTAATTCATCCGGATCTGAGCATGATATGCGATTCGAGTGGGAAGTTCACTCTCGCTGGATTTTACATGGGTGACGCCATCTTGGATTCACGATCACGAGGTCAAAATTGTTTACTCCATAAATAAATATTTTTCACATTCTAATCTCAAAAAACAAATACAATATCAAAAATACTGATAAAAATCAAAACCTAGAATAATAGTACGACTACATTTCTAAAAATAATAATTAAAATACGTTTCGTACACACCGGAAACGTGTGGCTTTTGACCCCAAGTGTGACTATTCAATTGCATATGAATATACGTTTTGCAAAAAGCGTTTGACACCGTGGCTTATCCCGGGAAGTTAGCCAGGAAACTTTACAGTCTGTGAGAGATTGAAGAAATCAGATCACGGGATAAATAGCATCGCGGAGAAAACACATAGCATCGGGGGCAAATCCAGTCGCGTCGCGGCCCGCGACGCTGTTTTGACCTGGGGAGAACACTGATATCAGTAGTGAGTAATGTTGTTTTCTTTGAAAACATTGCAATTTCCAGTGCTTTCAAAACCCTTGGGTACAGTGTTTGCAGACATATTTGTATGCAAACCATATACTTGATTTATATTGGTAATTATATGAGAATTAACATGCAAGGGAGTTGATGTAGGTCAGTTCCCAAAGGGGGAAAAATAGGTCATAGTTGCATATTTTCTGTTCATTTTGAAATTGGTGGTATTTTCAACATGTTTTGTTCAATTTTTGACAGATCTAGGTCGAGGTCCCCACCGCCAGAAGAGGAAGATGACATCGATGAGACAATGGTTGTCCTTGACAAATGTAAGTTACTAAGGATCTTTTGTCAAGAATAAATGTGAAATGGCTTGCTTACTCACAGAAAATGTGTATATTGAAAAACATCTTGTACCACTAAACAAAATTTGGTAAAGAAGTGTTTTTGTACTTTTAAATTTTTTCCAAGAATACCAATGTGTTAAAAATACCAAGAGCTACCACAGTTTGTAAAGTCTTTGGTTGTTGTATAAGAATGACAACCAGTCATTTCCACCTGTCATGGCCTCTAAAATATATATATATATATAATGAAAATGACTGTTGGTGTTCAGTGTGAAACATCTGTCATTAGCAACTAACAACAATCGTTTTAATATTTCCAGTCAACTCAGATCTTCATTTAAAGATAAACAAAGATGGCTACATTGCTAATCCACTTTGCATGGAAGGTTTTGCCTATCTGTGGGCAGGTGCCAGAGCTACATACGGTATGAACAAAGGAAAAATATGCTTTGAGGTTAAGGTGAGTTGTTGATTCAGTAAATATCTGGTTATTATACTGTTGACTGATTGATAGATAATGAAGATCAAATTCCACATGTATTGCATATTTAAATGTGTTTATAATGATTACTATCTTATTTCAGCTTGTTGAAAACTTAAAGGTACAACATTTGCCAGAGGAAGAGACTCACAGGAACGTTGTGAGGGTTGGTTATTCAACAGATGTATGCTCATTTCAGCTTGGTATGTTAACTATCCTGTAAAATGTAAACACCACCACTGTGTTTGTATGAGTGTGAAAACGGCGTATAGTTCGATTCGCATTTGATTCACGTTCAATTGGCGTACAAATTGAAATACCTATAATTTACACAAGTTTATCTAAGTATAGCATATTTTGTGTAAAAAATTCGGGATCAACCTATTTCTTTTGGGAAAAAACGTGGTTATAAAGTCTCGCTCACATCGGAAGTCACTTGTGCTTAAACAATAATAAAATAGCCCTAGAAACAGATGAGAAACGCATGAATATGTTAGAACATATCATGTGTAAAAGAATACATATAGTCACAAATTATCACCATTTAAAAAAAACAAATAATATCTTTGAAACAAGGACACTGATGTTTTTATTTGCAACCATCGCAGACGCAACATGGAACTGTCATGTACACTATGAAAGTATTTATAACCTTGATTTCCACAGAAAATACTAAATTGATCTCTATTGTTCCACACACAAAATTGTTAAATAAGCTGGAATTGCTATATATCATTAGCGTGAAATTATAGGTATTTCAATGGAAGTTTCAATCGTACACAAATTGTACGTGAATCGAACAGAACGATGTCTTCACACTCTTGTTTGTATTTGCATGGAAGAAATTTACCGTGAATTACTGTCATTTTGTAAGACGACAGATTAAAGGTTATTTTATTTTACACGACATCTGAAAATTTTAATTTTAATATATTAAATCTCTTTTGTTACATATGTGCATTGATGGTATTGCATAAATGATGAGAATTCACTGCCAGTTCTGCTTATGAAGAGCTTTGATTATACTCCTTTGTGAACTCTGATATTAGCAAGTTTTTTCATCTTTGCAACACCAGTGATTTAAAAGAGCATTATGGAGAATTTATTTAGTGTTTTTATTAGATATTTCATGTCAAAGGTATTATGTTATTCTACTTCTGTGTCATGTGATGCAGTGCTACTCCCACATTTGACAGACAAAATTGGTGAATGGCAACTCAGAGTAGCAGGCACTTGCACTGGAACACTGATGCTCATTTCGATATTCATACATGACAAATTTTTTACTAGCCCTTAAAAGTTGGCATAGTTTTAATTCTGAACTGGGAAATGCTGCCCTATTTATACTCTATAAATGTCTTCACTTTATCACAGGAGAAGAACCACTTTCCTTTGGGTATGGTAGCAATCAGAAAAAATGTACAAATAATACTTTTGAAGATTTTGGTGAAGAGTATGGTGAAGGAGACGTCATCACTGCATACGTGGTAAGAAGTTTTAAAAATGCACATTTGATACCTGCTAAATGAAATCTTGAGCTTTCTTGTCAATGCAAATAAAATTTGGTACATGAGTGGACTGTGTATGCTATTAAATTCAATGAAAATTTGGTTCCAATCTGTATTTCAGTAATTCCATGACTACCATTTCTGTGTTTCTATTAGGTGGAATGAGATACTAGTTTTTTAAGAAGCTAATAGAAATGTTTTGTGTGCTTTGGTTGTAGGATTTTGAAGGAGAGAAACCTGTAATCTCTTATGCCAAAAATGGTGAAGACATAGGAGAAGCTTTCAAAATTGAGGAAGACCTGGCAGAACAAGCTTTATTTCCTCATATACTAACCAAAAACTTCAACATAGAAGTTAACTTTGGCCAGAAGGTGAGCAAAAAATTCAATGTATGTTTGGTTATTTAGTGTGGTAAAGATGTTTGTGAACAATTAAACATTTTCAGCAAATTAAAGCGCGGTAGTCGTTCGACATTTGTGTTGATAAACATTGATTTTCCCACAACCCAATGCACTTCAAATAGAAATCACAAGTATGAGGTTTGACCTGGGCGCGACTTGCACTGATTACCGCCGGTGACTCCTTCGATCACTTCCAATCACATGAAAATTACCTAATTACAGCTTGAAAACGTGTCAGTTCGTACTCGTTGATCTGCGCAATAGTAAAAGTGGCCATCTTTGTTTATATGAGACCCATATATCTCGCACATGCGCAGCGCGACGACTACCACACTTTAAACTGCCATGTTCAATTACGTTCCTGCCATGTTAAGTACTGTATGTACTTGTCCACAAATGATGAGAACACACTGCCAGTTCTGCTTATGATCAACTTGATTATACTCCAATGTGTATCTGATAACACCATACTGGGGTTAAAGTCATTCAGTTACTGATTGTAATGGCAATATTTTAATCAGTGTTCCTTCTTTACCTGTAGGATGAGCCATTCTTTGCAATCAAGGAAGGTTTCACCCTAATTGGAAGCCTACCAGTAGAAGAAAGAATAAGAGGAAGTACTAAACCTGCTTCAAAGAAAGAATGTGAAGTAAGAGCCATAGACGTACACTCAGTGTGTACGCATCTTGTTATCTCCCTGCTGTTGATTTTGTTCATGTGTATGACTGATAAGTTCTTTAGGTTGCATTTCAGCTGGAGATCTTTATAAATTTGACATGTGAAGTTGGATATGTGTCCCGGTCGGTATCTAGATTAGCTTCAATCGCTTGATGTTAAAAGTTGACTGAGAAGATACTTTTGTACTACGAATTTTGGTAAGGCCTTGCAAATGGGTTAGGCTGTTTTCTTTTTAGGAAGTACAATCCCCAAATTAACTGTGGATGAATGCACATCTTTTTCATGTAGATTTTGATGATGATCGGCCTTCCAGGAAGTGGCAAGACAACATGGGCTGAAAAGTATGCAAAAGAGAATTCAGACAAGCGTTACTGCATCATTGGTCTCAAAAGTCTTGTTGATAAGATGAAGGTATGCACAAAGTTACAAGTCAGCTTTATTCTACAAGTCGCTTTTATTCATCATAATACTATAGGATACATAGCTATTAAAATCAAGATGAAATTCACATTAAATCATAGGAAATCTACATTAAAGTATATAATTATACAAGATGAGCAGTAATGGTTAGGCAGCAGAAAATGGCTTAGGTGAAGCTAGTCTAGTCTGCTCCCGAATAAGGTTTTAAAGTGAAAAGTATATCAAAATCATGCATTTTAGCATTCAGGAACCCAATCTCGGTTGTGCATGGACAGATTCTGTTCTAACTTTGTATATGATGATTTATATGTGGCGCATTCCTGCATCACAATTGACAAATTGAAATTCAAATTGGGCCACAGTTTTATTAAGTGAATCTTAATTGCCTGTTTTGTTTGCAGAGTTTTATTTATACTTGTGTCAAATGTAGACCTTTTCACATAAAAATTTGGAACAGTTTGGTAACATAAATGATGAGAACTCACTGCCAGTTCTGCTTATGAAGAGCTTTGATTATACTCCTTTGTGTTTTCTGATATTACCAAACTTTGCTAGAATTATGTTAATTGATTGATTCTATATAGGCAATGTGCTCTCTGGATTAATTACCATACTCTTCTGACTTGGTGACGGAGTACTCTGCTCAAAAAGTTGTTTTTCTGGGTGTTAAAGATAAGTGGGGCACTCAAACATTTATCTGAAAGACAATTTTTGTTCACAATGTGCCACATTAGAAAGGGTTGATCCATAGTTTACCTCATGATGGTCACAGTGGACACTGATTATTTGTAAAAGTAAAAGAATGTTCAATATCCAGCTTTTGTGACTTTAATGGTTTAATTTGTGGTGTTTTGAAAGAGGGGGGATTTCAAAACTGTTGTTTTAAAATTGGTCAGTTTTAGAATCATGGTAAACATTTAATACAACCACTTCTCAATATATTTTGGTGAAGCCATTGTCTTTTATAGCTTTGAATGATCAGAAGATCAGCTTCCCAAAACTGACATTGTCCTACAATTTCAGATTCTTGGGGAGAGCCGCAAGAGACCTATTCAGACGATGGGAGATATTGATGGACAAATT